CACAACAAAGACAACGAGAAACTGACAGAAACCGCACAAACCAGAACCCTGCAGTGGTTTCATATGCCGCTCATGTTTATTCGTGACCACATCACTACACTCCCACACCTTCAGTGGTAAAAATTTGAATAAAAGTCTGCATCTGTCATTTAAGTATTTAATAAATAAACAGTGACTGTGCAGCTTCTAATGAGAGCACTGATCTCAGCACTGATAGAAAACCTGAAACACTTTATAGCCACTGATTAGTTTAGTTTACTACCACAAAAACCCACTGATGTTCCATTCATGTGCTCATTTTATCCTCAACTGAAACACACTTGATTTATGAGCTCCACATGCTGACTCGCTGATCACATCTCTGGTACTGATTAATGAAGATTGAGTTATCAGCACTGATAATAGATTACAGCAGTCAGGATTACAGTAATCTGGCAGTCACAGCTGATGTCACTAGGATGGTTTTTATGAAGCACAACGCTAAACACAAAGTCTTCAGTGTACAGAGTTTAGCTTGAATCTCTGAGCTCGAATCTTGCGGACAGGATGTCCGGACGTCTGTCTCCGAGCTGCTCAGATCAGTCTCAGCTGTTTCCCCTCTTTTTAAAAAATTTTTTAGATTCCCAATGCTCCGTGACACTGCTCGCTTTCTGGCTTTTCGTCGTCTATAAATCTGCTGAGTGAAACAAACAGAGATGTATGAATCTACACGTCTCTGCAAAGATGCACGCACAAGTAAAAACAAAAGTAAAACTTGGTATAAAGATGGATGTGGAGGGGAACGAGGGGAAACTGGAGCTGATGTCGTGTTATCTCTGCATCTGCAGGTCAGTGAATGCTGCTCGTGTCAGGACAGACGCCACCTCTGACCTTTTTATTCCTGCCTCAGAGCGGGTTGGTTTAATTTCGGCCCCCGTGCGTCTCAGCTCTACAGGCCGGACAGAAAAAAGTTGATTTATCAGCTTTACAAACTCCACAGGAGAGATTCAGAGTTTGCGCTTCACGTTGGTATTTTTTTAGCAGCCGACATCAAACTGAGGGTTTAACTGCCTGTTTCGCTGGGCGGAATGCTTTTTACTGTGCTCTATTGTGTGTTTATTGCACTTTTATGTGGTGTATTGTGTGTTTAGTTTTATAGTGTTTCAGCTTACAGGACTGACCCCAGTAAAAAGTTCACCAAATCGGAGCTTCATACTCAACACTACTTTCACCTCGCTGAGCGGATCCTGTGATTCCCGTGGAAGAAAATGACTTTAAGAAGAAGAGGAAGAAGCTAACACGTGAGCTTTCAGGCAGCCGTGACATCTGAGTCAGGATCGCTCCAGATGGAAACTTATTTATCCTTTTTCCATTAGTCCTGGAGACACTTGTGTGAGCTGCTAACACTCACGGCCAATGAAACCATGCTGACAGTTAAATAAACAGTTCACCTGGAAGACGAAAAACATTTGAAAACAGGAATCCTGCAGCTCGAGGCAGATTAGATTTAAGACCTCTTTAACACCCCTCAGAATTAAATTTAAGACCAGCTCTCCTGCAAGTAAGATTTAGGAATGAGAAAGTGACATCATCCCACAGATATGTTTGTTTTTCTACGATTTCGTCGAAGCTCTTAGCATCCACAATAAGCTGATGGGATCCCAGACTTTGGCTTAAATATTAAAAAACATGGTTTTATATCAAAAAACAAACTATAAATGTTGTTGCTTCTCCCATTGTGATCTGTGTCATTAATGCAAGGCACTTTCTGATAATTATAGTTATTACAAATCATTTAGAGATCTTAATTTCACTGATAAAAAAAAATACTCATAGAATTCAACTGTTCCCACATCTTCAAATGTTGATTTAAGACATTTTGGAAAAAATGAAGGCGTCTTTTTTTAGATGAATGAATTCACTCAGCTTTATGACTATTTAAGAATCCACGGGAAACATGCCCAGCTGCTCAGTTCATAACTAAAGTGAAAAGGATTGAGCAGAAAGACTTCTTCACCCTTCTCCTGCTTCATTAGTTGTTTTTCCATCTAAAATTTTCTCCCTCAAGAAGTTTTTTTTTCAGGGAGCTGAAAGTTTCCTTCAGAGTATTGTTTGTCTGCATTTCCACTTCACTGAAGACAAAAGATCTGGCAGAATGAGTCCAGTGACGTAGCGAGAGCTGCTTTTAAACACCAGGCTTTATAAGAACGTAGTTAGCAGGCTACATCTCAGCTGTCTCTCTTTGTTGTTGTGCGACTGCTTTGGTTACAAAAGCTAGCAGTGTGGCACCTTTTAAAAATAATACAGCTTTAAAACAATAAAACATCTGATTTCATTTTTTAAGCCCACTCAGCCACAAATGTTTGCCTCGATCTCTCTTCCACTTTCCTTGGTTAGTAACACTATCCCCACCAATGACAAAATATTTCAGCAATTATTGTTTCACATCAAGCGCCGGTGTTAAAAATCGATCTTTCTACTCACTCTTTTGATCGATATTTATGTATATAAACAACACTCTGATGTGGAAAGTGTTACATGTGACATTTGTTGTGCTCACACTCTCCAACTTTAACTGATGAGCATCAAGATCCAACCCAAGAACCCACAACAAGTGGGTACGCCTTCCTCCACTGACCCTAAAATGAGTGGGGAAGTTACCATCATACAAAATGATACACATGAAAACCAGACAAGGGCCCCAGTGTCACACCCGCGGGTTTATTTCCACTAAAATTCATGCAAATGCCACAGTGGATGTGGTTTGAGGTTCCAAGAGCTCCTGTGAAGAGGTGCAGTGGTATAAAAAACTCTTCTCCACACTAGAAGAGATTCACATTGACCAAAAACTATTGAAAGTCAATGTCACATGTCACAAACTGTTCTCAACTTCTAGGTGATTGAAGCCTCAGCCAATGAGAGTGCAGGACACAGCTGACTGACATCAGCTGCTGATTGACATAAAACCTGTCCGAGTCTGGAATGTGCATCAGCCATCACCTTTGTGTTGCTTTCAGTGTGAACGCAGCTGAAAGAAGCTCAGTTTAAAGTCCTGCCACACTTAAACCCAACATCATCTTCAGACACACTGACCACGAAGAGCCTCACACACACTCAGGGCACATACTCTGAACTATTTAAAGCACAGCTGTCAGCATGCATGTGCGTGAAGTGACAGTCAGCAGCTCTGAGAGGATGTGCCATTTAAACCTCTCTGCCAGGAAGGTCACGAAAGGCCCGGCTGTATAAACCACACATAAAGTGTTATTTATAAAGGAAGAATGTGCAGTGCAAGTTCAGCCTGATATGGTGAAATGAAAATGAGGCGAGACAGAATTTTGCCTAAAAAGTTTATTAATAGCTTATATTTATGTGTTCTGTGCAGCTGTGTTTAATGGCCATGTGTAAGGATGGATGCTCTGGTGCTCTTTTGTGCCTTGTTTACCGTCCTTTCCTTGGAATTTACAGAGACGGTGTCCTCAGTTACTTCTTCCTTCAGTAGTTATTTTGTTCCCTTCGGTATTCCATACCTGATGCCGCCAAATAAAACACTTCCTTTTATCACTTTTTCGACAAGTGTGACAGTTTCTAATTATTGTGTTTTTGATTGACATGTCTGATAACATGCGGTACAAACATCCATCCATGAATGGAGATGAGAGTGGAAATGAAGCACAGTGACTGAGATCATCACAGAAGCACTATGACAACAATGTGTGTTAATGGCTTTTAAAGAAAAGTGTTTCCAGCCTTTGGGGCTGAAAAATGAAGACAAAGTGACAAACACTGCAGTTCCTCTAATGACCACTTGGCTCCTAAAGCGAGTCGACCCATTGCCTTGGATTTAAAAAACAGACTTTACAACAGAAATAAACAGGATACAAAAAACATCTGTAAGCTATAAAGCCATTTTCCCTGTTTGTGATAACTGTTTGGGGTTTTTTTTCAAGATGACACATTTGAACCATGTTAATGCTTAAAGTTGACATTATTATAACCCCGGAAGCTTTGAGTGTCAGGTGGATGGAGAGAAAGCGGGCCAGTGCTTCACCTCAGCTACTCAGAGCCAGTGAAAAAACTTTGTGACTGTTTTTAAAGACTTTTGGAGCATTTAAAATCCAATAATAAGACAGCCAATCACAGAAGATTGTGCTCCACCTCAAGAGAGTGAACTTCTAATATTTTTATGCTCCGTAGACTTAATTACCTGTATCTGTGCGATGTAGTTGCACCCATACTGTCTTTACGTATGCAGCTTGCTAGCTTTAGCTGATAACTCCACTCCACCCTAAATGTGGTCACTTCTGTGTGCAAAACACCAACACGGCGATCGTAAACCAGTGGGTGATGTCAGTTTGTTTGCACATCTCTGCCTTTGTGGATACAGTGTTAGTAATGATGACGCTATGGAGTTTGATTTCCTCATGCATGCCAGTTTATATTCAAGTTAAACACTTTTCCCCTGTGAAAACAGGAAACGGATGAAGGTGGACAGAAATCCAGAAACTGCTTTGAGCTTGTTTGTCATCTGAAGCAGTGACTGTAATGAAAGGACGGCAGGAAGAGACAGAATGAAGCTGTTATTAAATGTCTGTGCAAATTAAATGTTTTAAGTCCAAACATCTCAGATGTCTAAACCAAACATTTCACAGAGACGTGTCATAAACAGAAAATTTAGTTATCAGCTTACACTAAACTTCAGGTGCTCATTGACCTGAAATATCAAAAACACGCTTAAATTCACCTTTAATTACAGCTGTTACTATAGAAACAATGTAAAAAGAGGTGCATGATGTCATCGGATCCTGACATCAGCAGAGGGCTCACTCTTAAATATCAGACCTGCAGAACTGAACCAGGAATCAAACTAGCAACCTGTAAGCACTTCCTGTCAGAATAAAACACACACACATAAAACTCCTCTGTGGTGAGGTCATAACACCTTGACGTCACCACCTTATCCTTTCTTCATTTCCAACCTCATCATCATCACCATCCTTTCCGCGCACGTGTCATCTTACCTGTGCCTGCTGGCAGCGCGGGCTCCGTGCGCGTGTCCATTGGTGTACAGGTTGTAGGACTGTCGCAGCGGGAACGCGCCTTTGGCGTGTCCGCAGGTCCAAAGCACGAGCAGCAACAGTAGCGGGAGCGCGGCCATCCCTCCGATCAATACGCGATCAATACAGAGTATCGATACTTTATCGGAGTCTAATCAGCTTCCTCAGCTGGAAGGGAAGACTCCCATCTCCATGGAAACGCCACAAAAAAAGTTTCCTCAGAAGTCCGTCAGTCCCACCGACCCATGGTCCGGACCCGATCAGACCTGAAGACCTGAAGCCGAGTCCAGTCCCCCCTGACCCGCTGCGGGTCCCGCTGCTCCCAGCCTTTAATGCCACTTTAATCCGGCTCGGCGCGGTCCCGGCTGGCCCATCAGAACTTTACTTGAGAAACAAAGAGAAGAAAACGTTGCGACAGACTGAACCGAGACCAGCTGCTCCTCCTCTTCATCACACCGCCCCACCGAACTGTCTCCGCCCCTGCCGGAGGAGAAACCAGACCCGCACCCACACCTGAACCAGGACTGGGATCAGTGATGAAAACGTGAAACCGCACGGAGCCTCAGAGAGGCTTTAAAGGACCAGACTGCGCTTTTTAAACTTCTCTGCCCCGTTTTTCCTTTCTTTGTATGTGTGTGTGTGAGAGAGACTGTGTGTGTGTTTTAAGCACTCTCACACACACACACACACACACGTATAAAGTTAATGTAAATCAGCTGAATCTGATTCTTTCTTTCCCGATTTTGTTGTCAGTTTAATGAGTTATTATTCCGAACACTTGTTTGCTTGTTTGAATGTTATTTTGATCTGCACTGGATCCTTTGAAGCTCTTAAAGAACATCTAAGAGTTTAATCTCAGCTGACAGTCAAGTCACTGCAGTTTGTCTCAGCTGATTTCAGATTAGTGAGACTTCCTGAAGGCTTCACAGTCACTACAGAATGTAAAAAGTCTGTTTTTACTTGGTAAATGTAAAGTGCAGTTAGCTGGTAATGAGGCGACTTGTGGATGTGGGGCCACTTTTTGAGGTGTGGTTCACTGGCTGATGCTTTATTCTGACAGGTTTTTGGTCACATTTCAGTGGATAAAGTCAGCGATTCCTAAGTTTCTGCAGGGGAGCCTGCAGAGTAATCACAGCTGTTCTTCACATCTGTAAAGTTCAACAATCCAAAGTGTCCGAATACTTCTTATTTTAGGATTAAGTTCATGTGTTCTCATTCAGGTTTATTTATTTTAGGAGCAAATTAGTGTTCCGAGTAAATGTTTGATTTTCTGGATTGGATACCGAGCCTTACGATGGTCCTCGTGCACACCTGCATATGTGTCTGCGATTCATTCATTTATGTGATGAGGCAGAGGAACAGAAACGTGTTTTAAAATGTTAAAAAGTTGCATCCTGTAACGTGACACCGAAGACGTTAATGAGCGTTTGATGACACTCGGAGCAGAAAACATCCTGCAGACTTCCTGAGGTTAAAGGATGTTTTACATCTGCTCTCCTCAAAATAGACAAACATGCCACTAACTTTCACTACGCGATAACCCTTTATATCAGTGTTGTTTGGACCATTGTTGTACTGTTTTTACACACATCCTGCCCTTCAGTAGACCCCAGTGTGGTCATCTAACGTCTTATAATTTTGTCATTTATCATAAGGTTTGTTTGGTTTTTTCAATTTTAGTTGAGTTGAGTTTCCTTTGTTTGCAGAATGGCTTTACTCCTTACACTTGTTGTTTACACGTGTTTCGTTTCTGTAGGAGTTTTTCTCTTTTTCTTCTTATTTTTATTATATGGGGGTATTTTTCAGGGAAAGGGGTTTCAGAAGTGGTATTACAACACAGTCACAGCAGTTTGCGCAGGCAGCTGACTCACAGTCATGTCGACATTCAGAGTAAACATGTGTACCACAGCTGTCTCATGCTGGTTCTGTTGACAAATGAACATGGACTAAACCAAAAACCGTTTCCTTTTTTTAAAACATTTTTCTTTTATTACAGTTTAGTTGGTTTGCAAGCACACTATATGAATTTACATTACAATGCACCAGCTACACATGGGCCCGTCCTTCAGTTGTCCGTGTTCGTAACCAAGTATAATCCAGACTTGAGTGTTGCGTCTGTGAAACCAAGCCATCGCTTGTTTATGTGTCGCGTGCCAGCTGTGACATCACTTCGTCAACATTTGTCCTGGTCCTTGAGATGGACCAACCTCGCTGCTGCGCTGGTACATGTGTAGAAGATGTCAAAACAGGAAGCAAAGCTATCTCACAGCTTTTTTTCCAGAAAGTCTTTAGAAACTTTTGCAGCATCTCTGTATAATCTGACAAACTCCGAGCTTCCTGTAGAGATCTTTATATAAATAACAGCAAAACAAAGATGATCATACAGCATGAAGGTGACAAGGGTCAGCATATATACCCGGTGTTACACTGCACTCTCCTTGCTAATGGTTTATGATTAACAAGTTATTAGATGAACACACCTTCTCTTAGCATCCTTTCTGGCTCCAACAATGAACATAATTTACAAAATAAACTTCCTGTTTCATTCCAGACGACCTGAAACTGGTGATCGAGCTCATGAGCTCATGAGAACAAAGTTTGCACGGGTAAAGCAGCAGAGACAACAAAGAAAAGTCTCTACAAAAGCAACTTTATTTCAAACAGGAGCTTGACGTCTGTGACCTGCCAGATCTCCAGTGAGCTGATTTTACATGAAGTGAGCTGAAAATCATTTTCCTCAGTTCATCTAAAATAAATCTCCCCAAATAGAGTGACTGTACGCTGACATCAAGTTTGGTAAAGACACACAGGCTGAGAACAAGACTGCGTTTATTCAAGTATAACCACCATTAGTTTCATTTTTTTTCATAGCCACAGAGTTTTGAATTTCTTAAACAATCACTAAAAGCTTGAATCTTACAGCATGTTAAGTCAACACTGATGCATGGCCTTGTCAACATTTTGGTTTTGCTGGGTATTTAAGAGTTGGGCAGAACAATGTAAAAACAAAGTAAGATACTGAGCTCTGCCGAGATCCTTTTCAGTTTCTTTTTTCCTCATTCAGCCTGCTCAGATCTACTCTTCATCAGCGATGAGTGCATCTGAGAAACTGAGGGCACCCACATTCTCAAAGTAACGACTGCTCCCTCACACAGCAGCCACACCCAAAATTATAACCTGCTTAACTGTCTGTATTATTCTAAATGAGGCCCTCATTGGCTAAGTAAGCATCACGCTGTACTAAAAATGACATAAAACTATTGTTTGAATCGATTAACTCATTAGGGAAATGTTTACTGCAGGCACGGGGGGTGGGTGGGAGCTGTATGTTGTTTTTCTCATAGACATACATATACAGCCCAAGGTCGTGTTTTTGCAATGAGAGAAGTTGCCCCCTGCTGGCCATTAAAAAGAATGCACGTTTGAGGCACTTTGCAGTTTTCATCTTTAGTCCACAGTCTGAGGTCATGCAGTAAATATCAAAGACACAAAGACATAACATCACCACACTGACATCTTTAGAGACTCACGTGAAGTGTCAAAAACAATGATCATCAAACAGAAACGATGACAACAGATGCAGCGGACCTGTTCTTTTTGCAGGAGCCTACAGTACCCATGATGCACCAGCGATAGTCGGCTGTTAGACTGGGGTGTGTGCTGGTAATAGCTAATGTAGCCCGAAGCAGAGTTTGTAAGCTCACTGCTTTCTAACCTCACACTGAGTTTTCAGATCAGACAGCAAATTCACACGTCTCCATCTGACTGTAAAACCAGCGGCAGCACTGACCAACGCTGGCTCAAGACAGGAATACTGACGGTAAGCATACGGAAAAATATCTGTTTAGCTGAACGCCGACGAGCCACCACCTGCCCAAACTGTGATACAGACTGTTTTCCCTAATAGGAACAACAGAGAGAGAGAGCTAAAACAGGACTCTACAATGGAAAACACTTTATCAGATCTCATAAATCATGTGGTGACCCCCCTCTTCCTCAGGCTCTACCCTCTCCGGGTGGAGAGGCGGACCACCCAGACTCCATCACTCACACTAACCACTGTTTTCAGTTTTATGAGTCTCTTTTTAAATGGAGTTTTGTATTAAACACAGAGACACATTCCTGGGCGAAAGCCTCAGGTGAGACACAGAAACAGAAAACCGCATTACCAGCCAGACAAGAGCCAATCTGAAAGCTTTTCCTTTTGAATAATCGAGTAGCTCATGAAAGTTAATAATGTCCCTGGTTTGTTCTTTATTTCCTTTAAATGTTCACTATGTGAAGGAAACCAAATAAAAGTTAATTTACCTCTTTAGCTGTTTAACTGATCTGAGCATGTACAATCAGACTGTAAGTGGTTTTAACAGGAAAGTCCCAGCTGACCTTTAAAATGCTCAACCATTAAGACCTCCATCTCTCCTGAACATTTGGAGTTGTCTCTGGACAAAAGCACTAAGATTCTTCCTCATCTTCTTCTTCTTATTATTAAGAAGACACTACAACCATACAGGAAACCCAGATGGTGACTAATCAGAGAAGTGCTTGCTAACTTTCCTCAACTTTTAGTCTTGAAATATAAAATATAAGTGAAAGTTGTGCCGACGTTACCTGGATGTTGTAGGGCTTTATGTTCAGGAATCATTTTATATTATAGAGTAAGAATGCCAAGAAAAACAGTACACCCAGAAACTCCTGATCTTATGCTTGGATGACCAGCTCTGTTCACACTGAGCTAGCTGTGAGATACCTGAGCAGACGGAGCCACCATGATGTCACCAACTCTGCATTTTGTAGCCTCTATGCTAGCACTTTGTAGCCTCTATGCTAGCACTTTGTAGCCTCTATGCTAGCACTTTGGTCAACAACTTTTGTTTCTTGGAGACAGAAGTGACCATATGTGGACAAGAAGGCGGTGTCCCGGTTTATTGGCTAAGTCTTGTTAGCTTTATTAATACGAATGATGCAGTTTAACATAGTGCTAATCAGTGTTGGTCAAGTTACTTGAAAAAAGTAATCAGGTGGAAACAACATCAACATCTGCAGAAGGTTTGGCGTAAGTTAAATGTACTTTAACAAACGTAAAAAATAAAACATGTAAATGTGACTTTTTT